AGGGGAGTCTCGTGGATTAAAGAAAAAGTTATTTGTTTTTCATTTTTAAGATAAAATTCTCTTTCTATAACGATAAATATTTGATTGACATTTAAAAGCTATTTTATAAAGATTTTCAATTTCTCTTTGCGTTTTAGCTTTGATTTTTCGGATAGAATAAAATGACAAGCAGCCTACTCCATTGGGTCGAGTTTTGCTGTGCAAATTCCTCCCGCCGGAGGGTTATGTTTACAATATAATATATTTATAATACAATATGCTTTATACCAACAGAATTCTTTCTAAAATGCCAACAATTGAATCCTTGAGTCTTGATTGGTCAATTGGATGCCCCTCAAAGTTTTAGAGTGGCTCATCACAACGTCAAGAAGCCAATCCAAAGCAAAATTTATTTTTTCCGCGGAAAATTTCGAATGTAGTTGCTTGAAAAATAAAAAAAAGCTTGTATTCACGGAGCTAACGTCTTTGAATATTGGAAAATGTCGCCAGTCAGTAAATTTGTTAATGTCGGTAGTCAGCAAATTTGGTTCAAATTAGATATTTTGTCCATTTGTCGCTAGTCGGTTAACCCCATTCAGACCCTGTTGATTAGCAGTAATCAAGCTTTGAACAACCCAGCCCTGATTTTGATAATCATTGAATGATCATTGGATATAAAATTCTTGCAGCAAAAAATGCGACATGAATCTTTATTGATGTAAAAAAAGACTCATYACTATCATTTAACATTCTAAATAACATTGACACGACTTTGGTCTATATGAGAGACCTATCATTTCGATCATGTAAAACTACGATTTCTTCATTCATCAAATTTGTCTATCTCAATTGAACCAGTTGCTACACGCTCAATTCATCTCAATTCATGGTGGATGGTCTGTTGATAGCAATTCAATTCTCGCACCAAGATCTGGATCGTCCGATATCGGGCGCGGGAATATTTATGAACCAATCAAACTTCAAAGATTCATTCGTCTCCAGTCAGACTAAGGCTTTGATTTTCCGCTATTAAAGTTATAAGGATCTGGGTACGAGAATGTAATCAGGCATTGGTAAATTTTATTGTTTAGCCGCGACACACTGCAAAACTAAGTAGACTTTCAAATATACATCTCTTTTCTTTAGAAAATACGACTTTGTGTTCTTGTTCTGACTTGATGTTAAAGYAAATCGGAAGATATAATACATTTATTGATTGTATCATTCAAAATCAAACGTTCATTGTGGTTTCTCGACATGTCGTCTTCTATCTCACCACTGAATAGTTGTGTACCCCGGCATAATGAGTGTTTCTTGTGTCTTTTCTACGATTGTAAAAAGTTCTTTGAAACATTGATGGTGTTCTTTTCGGGCTCGCTGTTAATGCCTAAAAAAACTTAATTTAGACTTATTCCAACAAAAGTAAATCAATAAGGAGTGAACCAAACAGTTATTGTCATCCTTTAAATTGAATATTACGGCTTTCTTGCTATTTTCTCTCTTTTTAGATCTTTTACTTGATTTGCAGCTTTCCCACAGCATTGTGCAGGGCATAGATACGAACAACTGGAAGTTTCACACTCATCGGGGCATATTTTTCTTGGAACTGATGCAAGAATTGACAAAAGTTTTGTTTTTCTATCAGAAGAAATGTCGGAATGTTCACTATGATCGTCTATTGTAGTCCGTCCAATAGCATTCTGGGTATCAATGCTTTCTTGATTATAGCAACATTGCCTTGGGCAATTTAATGCACATTCATAACCACAATGGGAAGGGCATGTTGATGTCATGATTGCTGGTGCAATACTTGGTACTGTGGTCTGCTGTGGCAGGCAGCACGTTAATCTACAATCTGGTGTACAGTTGTCTTTACAAGAAGGTTGACACGTTTGACAACAATACAATGGACACCATGATAAGCATTGATTGGCATTGCAGCTACTAGGACAGGGCGGTGGCTGATTGCAACAGTTTGCAGGGCATAATGGTCCACAATTAGTAGCCGAACAATCACTAGGGCAAACGTCTGGTGTGAGGGTAACTTGGCAACAGTGTGGTGGGCATGACTGGTCACATGTGCTACCGCATCGTGCTGGACAGACTGATACCATTGGTGCAGCTGAAAGTGTTAAGAAAGGAAGATAGGAAATTTTTTAGTTGTATGTCATCTAAATGACACGATCTTGATATCATAAATTTTCAACGATTTGATGAACTACAATGCTATGGGAATTTTACGATTCAAAAATGAACACATATAAAACCAGTTTGTTTGTTGTCAGGTTAGATAGCGCCAGCTTATCTGATGATCGTAGATGTTGTTTTCATGAGATTCTTTAGGTAGTAGAGGCAAAGTCTTTTATTTTGAATCATCATGGGAAAAGAAAACAAAATAGTTTGGCCTTACTCCCCTGGAGCATACTACCTCATGCAAACGGGGCATTATAATGTCCTATTGACTTTAATAAGCCAGTAATGGTGCCTAGATTTCCATAAGTGCAGTAAAGTGCATTGTGTGGCAACAATCGTTATTTGGTTCTTACCCTGACAGACTTGACCATTGCCTGTGTATCCCGGATTGCATACGCATTGATTGTTCACACACGTTGCGTATCTGTTGCACAACTGGCAGCGTTTGACTTAAAGTAATGAACATTATCATCGTTAGCTTTATCACTATCATATTTTAAAGGTTTTATCCAAATGATCATGACAAATTGCATCAATTTGTGATCATCAGACTTGAGCACTGTAGCCGGTAGATTTGAAAACTTACTTTTTACGCATTGAAATCCGTCTCCTTTATATCCAATTCGACAACGGCACGCTCCTTTGATACAAATTGCATGAATATCACACAGATCACAGTCGTCCACTGAAACAAAGAAATTTTCATGCACATCTATTATGAAGATTGATATAGAGTCATCACACTTGTACCGTGAAATATGATCAAAATAAACAGTAAATATTAGTGTCTATTTATTGACTAATAGTAGATATTACTGAACCGAACACAGTTCATGAAAACAAAAGGCAATACACAAGAGACTTGACAACTGCCATCTTTATTTCATGTACAATCAAGACAAAAGACACATCTAAAGCTAAAATAACCACACAGTATGCAAGGAAACGCGTTTCACGAATCTTTATTTATTTGCGCTGCTGTTGAATCAAGACACAAGACACATCTAAAGCTAAAATAACCACAAAAGACGCAATAAAACGCGTTTGGAGTCTTTATTGTCTGCGCCGCAGCAAAATTATGACAGAAGACATTTTAACATTAAAAAAATTGAAAATTGAAAATACTGTAACAATAGCAAACCCAGTACGCAAATGAACGTGTTATCTAACGAGTTTATTWKAAKAKCCTAACCTAAAAAWMAARASAAGACGCACTGAAATGACCCGCAAAAATCTATAAAAGCAACGTGGTTTCGAACGAATTCTATCGCTCAAAGCTGAGTTATCTGACTAGTCAATATAATTAAGCGATTTGACAACAACCAGCGGCGACGTTTTAAATTTATCCTTTGCTTGAAGCTCAGAATAAAACACAAGGAATTTTATTAATCATTTCGGAAATGTTTGTGCGATACATACCTTTCTAGCATGGGACAATAGTTACCAAATCATTATTTCCTGCTTCACTCGTAACAGTTATAAAGTTAGTTACTATAGCTATCTATTTCTCTTTCACCCTATAATCAATAATAGGCCAATTCTTTTTATGTCATTGGATTTCCATGATGAAACCTATATTTAACACAAGTTCTAGCCCTTCCCTTTCCTCTGGGTTTAACAAAGAACTAAACTAGCTCTTTATTTCTTTCCTTGTGGGTGGGACATCAGTTTTTAACAAATTCCTCCTTCTTCATTAGGTAGTTTTTAATAACATTGTTTGGCTTTCAAGTCTCTTGTGTATTACCTTTTGTTTTTAAGAATTGTTTTGGTTCAGTGAATATCTAGTACATTTCATACAAATAGTCAGTAAATAAAAACTAATAGTTACTACTTCTTTGATTTTGTTTCACGGTACAAGTGTGATGACTCTATCACGGACAATTTCAATTTGTAGACTCTAATTGTCGGGCCAGTAATAGACCTTTGAAGATTTTACATCATGTACCTTATTTGAAATGCAATGGGAATTAAGCTTGAGTAAGAAATGGATGATTTATTTTGTTTTCTATGTAGAAACTGATATATGCATTACAGATCAATAAGGTTCATAAGTCTATATTGATGTTCTCAATTGATATGATTTGGATGTGCTGTCTACACATGTTTTTAACACTAAATTGCGCATGTCTTATGCTAAGTCCTGTGAAAGTTTTCGATTGTGAAATGAAGCCACAATAAATTTGTACCAAAGATTTTTCGCTGATTATTTCCAAGCATGTGGTCTTATACTTACCATCGCACGTCTGTCCTCGGTAGGCACCAACACATTTACAAGTAAAGCCCCCTCCAGCTTTCTCAAGGCAAGTCCCTCCATGAAGACAAGGGTTGGGATGACAATAATTTTGAACTGGTGTAGTGAACAGAACAAAGTTTATTGAAATTTTGAAAAAGAATTGTGTGCGTGCAAATTCAAAATCCTTGTATCAACCCACCTGRAAGTTCGCACGTTGCTCCTGTGAAGCCTTCCTCGCAAAGACAACGAAATCTGTCTCCCTGTACGAGGCATTCACCGCCATTTTTGCATGGATTTGAAGCACAAGGATTTGGTTTCGGTGTCGGTGTCGGTTCTTCCGTTGGCGGGCGGTTRCCTTTAAAAAAAATGAACTATTGATTTTTACCTACATAATAGATATGTACTAATAGATTTTGTGTCTCCTTGGTGACCAAATTTACGTTACGCACTCCCTCATCGAGTTCCCCAAACCTTTCTATATAAATCCTGAATCTTCCTTCCATGGCAAAAAGAAAKGAAATGAAAAATAGATTTGTTTTGTTCACTTTGTTTTAGTTTTCATCGAAAAGTGCCAGCATTTTACTTTCAAAGGCTAAAAAACATCACTTTAACATTTCATTGACTACTATGCTTTTGATATGATTTTCTGTTCCCCATACTAGTTGTAGTATTCTGTAATTTATGTTACCGAGGTCCAGTTCGCAGCTATCTCCGCTGAAACCAGGTTCACAAAGACAATTGCGTCCGTTGGGCAACTCTTCACATGTACCACCATTCTTGCAAGGATTTGGAGTGCAGAATCTTGGGTTAGTTGCTGGCAAGAAGAAAACACATTTAACGAGTCATTAGAAGTCATAGCATGCAAATAATTTGGCAGACAGCTCAATGCACTTTTAAAAAGGCCCACTGAAAACCTTATTAAAAAAGGTTTTAAAAAATCGTTTGCTTTGTTTGAAAAACGATTTCTTTTTGAAAAATGCTTTCTGATTAGTTCAAAATCAAAGAAGCAGATCTGTTTCTATGCCAGAAAATTTGCGTAGAGCTCGTGGTTCTCGCACTCACGGAAACCTTTTCAAACGGACAAACTTATGAGAATTTTACATTTTGATGCTGTATTTTGTGGTATTCTCACCGCTTGGCTTTTTGCATTCACCCTTAGTACCCTCGCCATAGTAGCCATTATCGCAGACACATTTCCCATCCTCGCAATGYGCATGTACATCACACAGGGAGCACTTGTCCTCTGAAATGCAAATAATGCATAATATGAAGKGCTTAAATTTTAAATTTCTAAATATACTTGATTTAACGTTTCAATTACAGATAGACTTTTCAAATAGGGCTCAGTTAAGAAAGGCATGCAACAACAAGTGTTCCTGAACGTTTTGGCTTAAAATCCTTCTAGATTGAAAGTAAATTCACAAGGGCATTTGCATGACGAATTCATTCKACTGAAGAATGATCAATGCCTATCCTTTTTCCCAATCAGAGATTAACAAAATAATTTTCACTGATGATTATTATCTTTCGGTCAGAATAAGATTTTTAAATACATATGAAAACAAGTGAAGATCTCTCCTCAAATTCCACAATAATGATTATGCGTTTTCGCTGTGTTAACGTTATGAATACACAGCATTTTCGAGTTAAAGCGAACAACCGCTGTTTTATTTGACAGCGGATTCTCTTACGCAAATCGTCTTATACGATTAGYGATAACAATTTACATTCTCCACAAGTTGAGACTAACCCTGTGATCCCAGAAGGCTCATACCTTAGGTCTTAGGGAATACAGGTTTAGTCTCAACTCGGGGAAAAGAACGACATTTTCTCGTGCTCTAGTTCTCTTTTGTGTTTGATTAGGTCTTTGCGSAAAAGAATCTGTTTTCAAATAGAGCAACGGTTGTTCGTTTTGAATTTGAAAATGGAGTATTATGCCTCTTGAACATGATAGTATATAATTTGAGGCTATATTGATGTTAGTTAACATACGTTCACAACGGATCCCCTGATATCGCTTGCTGCATTTACAAAAATATGTCCCGTCTTCTCTTGGTATGCAAGTAGCTCCATTCTGACAGGGATTCGGATCACATGCGGTTGGTTCTGCGAACAAGAATAAGTTGAAATTAGCGATATCTTATTATTTTTTTGGTTTTTGGTTGGCTTAGAGTTATCCCTAACCCCTAACTAATAAGAGTYGCCTTGGAGCATGCACTGCCACAACAGTTTCCAACCGCTGACTTCACGTTTATTATCCGTATGAATAATGTGCGTTGTCACCAGTCCTCTTGTAAATAAGGCGCAAACTCGGTTTGTAGAGCACTGGACTTTAATCAAAAGGTCAAGGTTAAATCTCGGTCAGACCACTTATACTGATTGGCTGAAGAAAATTAGCATTGCTATATTGTTTGCATGCCTCTAGGTGCACGGACATTATTTAATAAATATGAAACTAGCCACCGTTTCCTCGCACTCTTTTCTACTGATTCTACAGTACGGGACTTAAAAACACATACCAATGACATGGGGATAACCAACTCAGCCGAACATTCTGAGCAAGAGCAAGAGCAAGAGCAAGAGCAAGAGTTTCACGTTAAATCTTTCAATTGATACGACTTACAAGCTTTCAAAAATAGAACATAACATAATTATCTATTATTTTCCACAAATCTAACGTCTGCACAAACCTTCGCAGTTGACTCCCCTGAAGCCAGGTTTACATCTGCATGTGTAAGAACCTTCGCCTTCTAYACATATACCTCCGTTCTGACAAGGTTGACTTAAGCACGTTTCAACAACTGCACAAATATCAAAATGATAAACAATATGTTAGTAAGGAGTATATTTTTTTCATGGAGTTTCAGATCTGTTAATAAACAATATGGCTATTGTTGCTAAAGAGAAACTGGAAATTGTTGATAATACATCAATTAAACACAACGYAATTACTCTCGAAAAACAGCTTGATTCCAGGAGCGTAGTTGTGAACCTAACTTCAATGCCTTTATCAACCAATAGGCAATAAACAATTCTAAAGATTTATCACCAGACAATAACAAAAACGTTTTCAGCTTCGAAAAGAAGAAATAGAATCGAAACCGTTCCTAAAAAGGGTYTAAAAATTCCGATATCCACCACTGAAAACAGTAAAAAAAAAGTATGACTTCTTTCAAATTTTAAAGCATATCTTCAAGGTTGATCAGACATTTTTCGATGCATATATTCTGACTTCMTTAACTTACTTTTACATGTAAGTCCTTTGTAGCCTTTTGGGCATTCACAAGTGAAGTCTGATTCATTCTCGCTGCACGTCCCACCATTGTAGCATGGATTGGGGTGACATTTGGAAGGAGCTAGAATAGCAATAAAAGAACATTAGTCGGCGGTTCTCAATTAGAGCTAACTCACAAGTGAGTAAGAAAACTCATATATAAAGACGTTTTCCACATTGAAACCGATTGGCGATTTTATGGTGGGCTTTGAGAGGAGGGAGGAGCCGGGGAGGAGGGAGGAGCCGGGGAGGAGGGAGGAGTGGTCAATTGATGTCCCAAAACGTCTAAGTATCTCCCTGGAAACTTGTTCAAAATAACCCTGTCTGAAATAATTCGATGCATTGACATCATATTTAATTTCAGTGTACAATGTCAAATTTTGATCCAATTCTTTTACGCCAGCGTTTAAAAAATAGCATTAATTCGGGAAAAGACTTGTTTGTCTAATTATCACGTGATAGCAGGAAAGAAGAACGTATACAGATTGCTTTGAGAGTGCTTTGAATATATGTTTTATTCAAGCTAAATAAGTGTCTATCTTATCTGCATACGAAATTACAACAGTCAATAGAACGAGCTAGAGCGGTGTGCAATCCTCGATAAGCCCTTTGTTCAATTCTTAAAGTAGTGAATGGAAAAACTATTAACGTTTGATCCTGCGATTGGTCATGACAAGAGGATAAACAGACTTCAGGACACTATTGAGATGATCAGTAAGCTTTGAACATCCTGTATAGAAAAGAAGTTTAAGGACTGCGGGAGCTTTGGTGCCTGTTTTAATTCTTTCTCTACTTCAAATCATCTAGGAAACCAAACATAATATTTCAGTCATTGACAACAAGCCTTTATTGATAGTCACCTTGAYAAAGCAACTCAGACTCACTGACTGCCRTACTTGGTAATCTTAATATAATCAAAGTATCGAGAAAACGGACGACTCTTAAGAGATGAGCACCTCAACTATAATCAAGAGTATCAAAGACATGAGCAACTCAACCACAAGACCGCAGTTGCAAAAGGACAATACCTATGATTCACCTTATTTCATTGTCTCGATTATATTTATCAATTCTTTTAGTAGTGTCTTGGCAACAGTCGTGAACTTCTTGGTTATATTAACTTTTGTTAAGACGCCATCTTTGCGCATTCCTTCTGCAAACATTCTYATTCTCAATCTTGCCATGACTGACTTTGGCGTCGGTGCTGTTGTRCARCCTGCTTATTGTATATCWTTTATTGCTAAAATGAGTAACAGCGAATATTTGTTTCAAAACGCAGATAAAATATTTTTTGATTCTTTCATTWTAATAATAATGGCATCTCTTTCKACAATAACTGCCATTACAGTGGATCGATTCCTTGCTCTTCACCTCCATCTAAGGTACCAAGAACTTGTAACCAAAAAGAGGACCATAATAGTATTAGTTGCAATTTGGATATTCAGTGTGTCCTGGCTTTGTCTTTTCTACATAAAAAAACATGAGCATGAAATTAAACAAATTGACACTTTCTTTTGTGTATCCATTTTTTTGATAAACCTTTTTCTGATGTCGAAAGTCACTTCCGTAATCAACAAACATGCAGCGCAAATTCAAATCCAACAGCAGGTCATGAACGCACAGCCTTGTGATGGAGCAATAAATACTAGGAGATCTGTCAATATCATGTATTATATACTTGGGACATTTTTGCTTTGCTATTTTCCGTTAACTTGTTTTTTGATAATCAAAACCTATATTAAGATTAATGATAAGGATGACAAGGTTGCAGAGGATGTTTTTTTCACAATTGTCATGATAAACAGCAGTATCAATCCAATAATCTACTTCTGGAGAATACAAGAAATGCGAAATGCTGCTCTTCAGTTGTTGCGGTTTGCTATTCGAAAAAACAGTAGTGATAACAATATCAATATGAACAGAGCAAACGATGCAAATAAGGATAGCGACAATGACAATAACCAAGAAAGGGATAAGAACAATGAGGACAGAAACTACAATGAAAAACACAGGAGCAGYAACAACGACAAAGATAACGATAGCAWTGCAGCTAACAGCAATTCTAATGTTTAATCTAGTTGAAAGAAAATTCATAGGACTCATACTTGCTTTATCAAAGAAAATGATAGTTTTAATTATTCCATCATATTCACAAAAAGCACCTGTTTTAACTTGTTATGAAAAAAATACCAAATTCAACAAACTAATGTATCTGGCATTATGTGTTCATTGCTTAAACAGATTTTGTACTGTCTTAAAATTGGTTGTAATCCACACATCGGTACTCAAAGTAATACATTTCTGAATAAAGATATCATGAGATTCATAGTCAGTCGTGTTTCTTCAAAGTATATTTAGTTATTATAAGAGAAAATTGTCTTTTGATAAAGACAGCAAGCAGATTATGTTAAGTGCATGTGAMGCGATATTTTTACTTTAAAAAAGGCATTATTTTGAAGAAAATATACTAGCTTGGCCAACTGTCACTTTATACAGACCTGACATTTCAAAGGTAATTATTATGCTAATTTGTTATCATCAAAGTGAGCTCTWTCCCAGATGTCTTCTTGAAGGAATGACATTTTATTTATAATTTGAGAAATAGAAGCCAAATGAATATGTTTAAACTGACACTGTCCGAATATATAAATTAACGATTATTATGATATTTTAAATGCACTGTGAGAGCACAGGCAGCCTATTCTCAAGAAACACAAGGGCTGCCTGTRCTTTATCGAGCATATGGGCTTATGACGTAAGGAGACCCTAATTGGCGTCGAGGTAAAGACGAAAAACGGTATAGAGCGAATACTATCGCAATATACTGGACAAATTAGCAATAGAGTTATTGAAGCATTACAACCCTTTTCATCTTTTTATTGGCTTAAACATAATTAATATAAGCGTATATGAGCTAAATAAACGCTTTTTTTMGAACCATCAACTTATAATGACAGCACATGATCTTGGTCGAGGTTTAAGATCAGTTAATCAAAAACAAAACAAAAATAGCCAAAAAAAGAGAGCTAGCGGCTTTGATGGCCTCTCTTTCATTAACTTCAAATCTCCAAAAACTATCCTGCGATTGATGAAGACAAGAGGATAAACAGCATTTTGAAAACCACTTTCAGTAAGTTTTAGATATCCTTCATAGAAAAGAAGTTTAAAGACTGCGGCAGCTATGTTGCCTGTCTAATTCTTCCATTCCTTTACTTTAAATCATCTAGGAAACCATGCGCCAGACGTAATATTTCAGTCAATGACTCATTGACTGTTGTCGGACAACAAGCCTTTATTGATAGCCACCCTGATCAAAGTAATTTAGAGAACTGATCAGACCAAAGACTTATTGAATTCCGTACTTGTTCAGCTATAATCAAAGTATCGATATATAAAATTAAACACTGAGCAACTGAACTATAATCAAGAGTATCAAAGACATGAACAACTCAACCACAAGACCGCAATTGCAAATGGACAATATCTATAATTCACCTCACTTCATTGTCTCGATTATAGTTATGAATTCTTTTAGTAGTGTCTTGGCAACAGTCGTGAACCTTTTGGTTATTTTGACTTTCGTCAAGACGCCATCTTTGCGCATTCCTTCTGCAAACATTCTTATTCTCAATCTTGCCATGACTGACTTTGGCGTCGGTGCCGTTGTACAGCCTGCTTATTGTATAACTTTTATTTCAAGGAATGGCAACAAAATTTTGTATAGAAAGGTTTATGAAATATTTGATTATTCTTCCCATATCTTAATAATGGCATCACTTTTGACAATAACTGCCATTACAGTGGATCGATTCCTTGCCCTTCACTTGCATCTAAGATACCAAGAAATTGTTACAAAACAGYGGAACATGATAGCATTGGTCGCAATTTGGGTACTGAGTGCGTGTTGGGGTTTCTTTTTCTACATTCAAAACCATGACTATTTAACTAAAGCAATTRAAAACTACTGTTTGCTASCACTSYTGCTGATAAACCTTGCTCTGATGYTGAAAATATCTTGCGTAATCAATGAACATGMAGCGCRCATTCATTCACAGAACCCCAGTGGAGCAATAWGCATTAAAAGATCTGTGAATATTATGTATTATATGCTTGGAACATTTTCGCTATGTTATCTGCCGTTRATTTGTGTTTTGATCATCAGTGCGTACAGTCAGTACATTAACAAAAGCATAGCAATTGACGTAGTTTTGACAATTGTTATGATTAACAGCAGTATCAATCCMATAATMTACTTCTGGAGAATWCARGAAATGCGAAACGCTGCTTTTCAGCTATTGAAGTCGTTTCGAAGAAGCAATAGCCATAACAATACGGACGATGCAAAAAACGATGCAAAAAAT